TGTCACTGGGGATCGAGACTGCCGGAGGAGTGATGACGTCCCTGATCAAACGCAACACCACCATCCCAACCAAACAAACCCAGGTGTTCAGTACTTATGCTGACAACCAGCCCGGGGTCCTGATCCAGGTCTACGAAGGTGAGAGAGCCATGACCAAGGACAACAACCTGCTGGGCAAGTTTGAGCTGTCTGGAATCCCACCCGCTCCCCGAGGGGTCCCTCAGATTGAGGTCACTTTTGACATCGATGCCAATGGCATATTGAACGTGTCTGCGGTGGACAAGAGCACGGGCAAAGAGAACAAGATCACCATCACCAACGACAAGGGCCGACTGAGCAAAGAGGAGATCGAGAAGATGGTCCAGGACGCTGACAAATACAAAGCTGAGGACGAGCAGCAGAGGGAGAAGATCGCTGCCAAGAACTCTCTGGAGTCCTACGCCTTCAACATGAAGAGTAGCGTGGAGGATGAGAAGCTGAAGGACAAAATTAGTGACCAGGACAAGAAGAAGGTGACTGAGAAGTGTCAGGAAACCATCGCCTGGCTGGAGAACAACCAGCTGGCTGAGAAAGACGAGTACCAACACAAGCAGAAAGAGTTGGAGAACGTGTGCAACCCTATCATCCGCAAGCTGTATCAGGGAGGGATGCCCACTGGTTCTTGTGGAGAGCAGGCACGAGGCGGCACCCAGGGGCCCACTATTGAGGAGGTGGACTGAAGGGACCCTGAATCTGGACTCTGGGACCTTTTAGCATTATTGCTAACTTTCTAAATGTGACATATTTATGAAAAGCTCTGAGTTGCACAGATGTTTATAGAGAATATTTTTCATGTTTTACATTAGAAGTTTAAATATGTCAAGATGTTGCCTTATAAGACAATAAGCATTGATTGTGTGTGATTGAGATGTTTCATCTTTGCCTTGCTGGACAATACAACAAAGATGAATAAACCTAAACACATTTTTTCTGGCTTTTGTTTCTTTTGTTTGTTTTAGAAATTTTGATTCCTGTTAAAAATTTAACAAAGATTCATAGATCAGTTAAAGGTTGAATATGGAACAGAAACACCAAAGTGACATCTAGCATGTGGAGATTGTAATTGCTGCCTAAACAGTTACTGTTTTATTTGGGTTCATCTGTCTTGGGTTTCACCTAAACTCAACTCTGGTTTTAGATCTTTTAATATCATTTGAAATTGTTCCATATTCAACCTTAACAACCCAGTTTTAAACTTCTTTGTAGGCAAATACAAGATTTTTATACTTTAAAATGGAGTTCATTACATATTTGAGGAGTAATGCAATACATCACTTTAAAAAAAAAGTAGTGTGTGTGGTTGGTGACCAAATGCACTCTGTTTTGAGAGGTTGGATGGGGGGGAAGGTTAAATCTCCAAATAGTTCCTGGCCGCAGCTGCAGCTCACCTCTCCCCACAGGTATGAATCAAACACAAAGACGTCATTTCACCAGTGTGCGATGAAAACTAATGGGACTTTAACTGGGAGTTTGATTTTAAATAGTCAACAAAAGATAAGAAAGAATGACACAACACAGCAGGATTTGGAGTCTTTTTCCTGATATTTGGACATCTTGCTTCAGATTGGATAACAGAAATGCGACTCTGCCACTAACTTGCCACCTAGATGTTGTATCTCCATAAATAACCCAGGCCTGGAGGAGTTTTTTCTGTGTGGTAGTGTTGCTAATGCTAAGCTTCTACCAGTCAGAACGGTCTCTACTGTCTCCTGGATCAATCAAAGCTTTATTTATAAAGCCCTTCCGCAACCCTGTCAGGAAGCCCAAGGCGCTGGATCAAATCAAATCAACTTTATATAGCACTTTTCATACAAAAAATGCAACTCAAAGTGCTTTACAGATTAAAATGGCCCCATAGATCCCATATTCCCATCCCAGCCCCCCTCCCCAAGTATAAAACAATTTAAAATTATGGTTCCCCTCCCACATCCAACTTCCAAAGTGGACATACAATCACCCGCACACTCGTCCATGCACACACACACACACACACTCGTGAACACCAGAGGAAACAATAGGCTGAGTTCAGATGGGTCAGGTAATGAACGACACATCATCAGCGGAGCCATCTGCCCTGGCAGCAACAGATCCACGGCAGCAGCCAAGACACCGGCCCATGACACCGAGTGGCGGAGGGCAGAAACCCCCACCACTGCCCGGGCACTACCCGAGGAGCGCCCCGGCCGCCGCCGCCCCTGACCCACCGGCCCCAAGGCAGAGGGCTCTGCAGAGGAAACACTGGAGGATTTAAAATATATAACATGTAAAATAACAAAAGCTAATATGGATAAAAAGTAACTGATAAAAAGTGATTATAAAGATAGTAAAAGAAAACATAATCATGTAAAAACACTAAGATGTAGATAAAATGATAAAATTAATTAAAAGAGATAAATATGTATATGTATAGGTCTTGAGCCTATTCTTAAAAACCTGGACGTTCCCTTCGGTCCTGAGGTCCTCCGGCAGCCCGTTCCAAAGGCGAGGGCCTTAATACTTGAAGGACGCCTCGCCGTGGGTGTGAGTCTTAACTTTAGGGATAACTAGGAGACGGCTGCCAGAGGAGCGCAGAGACCGCGAGGGTTTATATAGTAACAGCATTTCTGAAAGATAAGAAGGCCCAAGACCATTAAGACACTTAAAAACCATTAAAAGAACCTTAAAATCAATCCTGAAACATACGGGGAGCCAGTGCAGCGATCTCAAAACCGGAGTGATGTGCTCCCGCTTCCTGGTCTTCATCAGGACACGTGCTGCTGAATTTTGTAAAAGTTGTAAACCTGAGATGCTCTTTTTGGGAAGATCAGAAAGCAGGGCATTGCGGTAATCAATTCTACTGGTTATAAAAGCATGCACTAGAATCTCCGTATTGGCCTGAGAGAGAATGGGGCGGACTCTGGCGATATTCTTAAGATGGTAAACCAACAACAGCCTTCCCTGTTGCGACTCGGCTGAGTCCATGAATGTTACGTGACAGTGTGATGTAAAATCCTTAAAAATGACAAATAATCCTTAAATACATTTTCCAATGGTCTTAAATTACCAAAGACCCAATAAACAAGATTATTTTATTTCTATCAAATTTTCATCAATTTCTAGTTAGTGTTCAGCATTTTTTGTGTACGATGTTGGCGTAAGCGGAACACATTCAGTTGGTTGTGAAAGGGGGCTTTTTAAGATGAGCACATTAGCTGGTTAAGGTAGTGGGAGATTGCACCGTGGTTAGCACCGGTTCCAGGCAATAGCTGGAAATTATAGTTTAAATGTCATTTTAAAAAATGGCTTAAATTTGGTCAAAGTGGCCTTATAAAAGGTCTTAAAAAGTCTTAAATGTGGCTCCCTTAAACCTGCAGATACCCTGTTCTCAGATCTTAGCGTTTGGCCCATCGACATACATACATAGGGTTTGGCCTTCTTTTTTCTATCAGAAGCTAATGCAGGAGACAGGTGTAGGAGATCATTTTCATGTTCAGCCTGAATGAAAAACTCAGTGACTGATCATAATCAGAAATAATTTTAAAAGGGTTTTTCAGAGTTCCACACCCTAACAGATACATTAAAATTATTTCCAGAACTGTGATGGGCACAACAAATCGACTTTAGACGTTCCTATTCCGGATCTTTCCAGAAATTTCTGGCACAGAATAACAGTCTGCAGAAACCCACCCATTGGAAGATTAGGTTTCTTATTGGTCCAACCAATATTTTAAGTTGTAGAAATATAATGGCTCAAAACGGAAGTGGCTCAACTTACCCTTCAAAATAAAGCAAGCAAGTTTTGTATTTTATGAACTCCACAAAACCTTCATAGAATGTTAGCTATGTAACTTCAATAATATGGCCTATACAACATTAACAAATGACAATGTTACACATAAAATGATTCATTTAATAATCTTTACAAAATGTGAAAGGTTTTATCAAACAATCTCAATCATAATTTAAAAAACCTAATGTGTCCTTTTTCTCTGATGAAAAAAAATGTAGACTAAGTTAGTCCTAGAATGTTGTTTATTGAATATAAGCTATAAAAATAATCAATAAAACTACATTTTTTGTTAAATGCAATACTTTTAAATACAGAAAACCCAAACATTTAATAAAACACCAAACTGCAATATTAAGATTTACACGTAGACATCATAGCTAAAATTGCGGTAACTAACAGTATGAATACATTTTTTGAAAAAGCAAAATCTGCTAATAAATGTTTTGTTTTTTAACAGAGCAGAATACATTTCTGAATTTAAACCTGTTTTAATCATGCCAAAATTAGAAAATTTATTTTACACCAGTTCTTTTTATAAATAATTAAGCATAAATCACCCTTAGACAGCTTTTTTTTCATTAATTTGAACCAGAAGGGCTTTTCTTTCCATTTCAAATCCTTAATTCCATGATATTTGTGGATTCATTTCTGCTCAAATAATTTCCTTCTATAGTCTTTCCCACTTTTGTTTCCTTTTTTTATTCTTGGTCTCTTTTTATGTATTTTATATATATATATATATATATATATATATATATATATATATATATATATATATATATATATATATATATATATATATATATATATATATATATACCACAATAGGAACCACGTGATATTAGGTGACTAATGTCGCCTACTCTTTTTTATTTTTATTTTTTGGTCATTTGTCAAAATCATCTTTAAAGATTTTTAGAAAACTCAGCTCCTCAGAGACAACATGTGTTTTATCAGGCTTGGTTTCAGAGATCCTTTTGTGATTATTGGCTGTGAAGCTCTTTGGTCAACTGGCATGCTGTGTTTAAATGCGCTATGTCAAATAAAGTGTGTGTGTGTGTGTGTGTGTGTGTGTGTGTGTGTGTGTGTGTGTGTGTGTGTGTGTGTGTGTGTGTGTGTGTGTGTGTGTGTGTGTGTGTGTGTGTGTGTGTGTGTGTGTGTGTGTGTGTGTGTGTGAGACAGGGCCTGTATTTTGACAGTCTGTACCGGATGTGGCTCTCTTCGTAATCTCTGACTGGATTGAGGCGCATGGAATCTTCCAGAAGGAGCCAGTGGGTGTTTATATAAAGGGAGCTGCGTCACATTCTTCCCTCTGTGTACTGCGGACTGACCCGAAACTAGACGGACGTCAAGGAAAAGCAGGTTGTTGGAGCGGGTTCGCCTCGGGACCGTGAGTGAAGTCTCCGTTTCCTGTAGGGGTTCTTGGCGGGAACGGGTCTAATTTGGGGTTTCTGACTGTTTATTGTGATTCCTGAAAACTTGTTTTATTCGTTGCAGAATTGTCGTCGCTGAAGCAAAGAGACGTTTCCATAAAAAACAGAAGTATAATGACATCAGACGGACTGGGCGCGTGATCGGAATAATTTTTGGTCTCGTGCTCCAAAATAAAGGTGGTTTAGTGTGGTGTTTAAAAGACTTATAAATTTACCTCGGTGGATGAAACTGTGCGTACAAAATGCATGGTGAGAATGGTAGAAAATATGGGTGGGGTGGGATGCATGTGTATGGTTTCTAACTCAAAAATAGAAAAATGCAATCGTTAAAAACTAACATTTGAAATCTTATTCTCTATAAAACTGTAAATGTACTTTAAAGAGATGAAAATATGATCATAAAGATGTTTTCTTTAATGCAAAAGTTCCGATATATTGTAAACGTCGAAAAACAAGTCCTGAAGTGTCCTAAAACTAGTAAACAACATAATGGGGCGTGGTCAGACCTCTCCCCTTAAGGGCGGGGCTACTGGAATGTTCTAGTTGCGTCTCTTTGTTCACGGCCGCCCTCTAGTGGTATATTATACATATAACAACGTCATCTAACTGTATTTGTTCTAGGCTGTCGAATTAAATGCTAATACTAAAATTTGTTTTATGACCGAAGTCTTCAGAATGGACCAGCCTCTGTTATTTAACTTGTGTTTGGAGATGTAAGCATAGAATGGGAATTGCTGTTCTACAAAATGTTATGTAACTACTGGCGTGTTGGTTGTAAATGGGGTAATGAAGATCAGTATTAAGGAAAAAAAAACATTTGACCTTTTGTTTAGTCTTACAATTAAAATATATTGTAATTGTGTCATTTGTACAATTTTACCCAAAACAGGGATATTTATCCACACATTGGGTTAAAGTTCGTTTTATATCTGAAATAAAATATTTGGTTTGAAACTTTTGTCTTGGAGCATTAAGTAACAGCATCAACTCTTAAGAGCCAGGTCCAAACGGAAACGAAGACGTGTTAAGTGAGTTTTCTTTACTTATTGCAGCAAAAATTCGGGCCTTGATAATAGGCAAGGGCGCAGATTTGACCACATTACCGATGAGGTGAAATTATTTTACTGAGTTGACTGAAAGCATCTGAAGGAAGCAGCTTAGCACTGAGGCAAGAAACAGACGGAGATTCATCTTCAGCTCAAGAGGAGGAGGGCGATGCAAAGGAGATCTCATGTGAATGTGTGGGAGGGGTGGGAAACCGACTGCTGTCAGGTTGTTTTGCGCTTTGAGCTGCATTTGTGTGGAAAGTGCTTAATCAATTTTGATTAAAGATCAGATTTGATTTAGAATGAGGTAAATGTGATTAATATGATTATAAGAGAGCAGGTGGTAAATGGTTTCCTATTTCTGTCTATACCTGAGTTTTCAACCCCATCAAAATGAGTCTACAGGTAAATTTTTCGATGTAAACAAGGTATTTACTGAGGGTTTAAAATAAATTGTGGTGTCCAGTGACACACAAACATGATGTAGATTTAGAAAACCTTGTCTATTCTGGTCAACGCAAAACCGCATGAGTCCCGACACAAAAGGGGTCGGAAGGAACATTAAGCAGGAAATAACGTTCCTCTGGTGTACCACTAGATGGGCTAAAATGATCTGCAAAACAGCTCAATGAGAATCAATGTGAGGGATTAGACCTATTGGAAGTTTACTTAAAAATCATTACTTGGACTGGGGATGATTGGATGTCATCACAATGATCAGTGTTGTATAACAGCAGGGGGCGCTGTGGAGCACAGTTAAAAGCAGAAAAGTATAATGGGCTTTATCTAAAAATACTTTTAACTAAGTTATGGGATCGCATTGATTTAATAGTCTAAACTCCAGTCAAGTCACTTTAAATCATAATGACTTTGACCTCCTGAGTTATCGTCTGGTCCTGCTTTTATCAGGATCAGCTGGAGCTGTGCTATTTACAACTTGTTCTGGATCCTACCTCAGCATTTAATCAGTTTTCTCACTCACTCCCAGAACTGACACAGACGGTCCTGTTCTCTACTTTTAAACACTTGTTGCAAAATAAAAATAAACAATCTCAGAGTTATAACATCAATCTCCTGCCTGAAACTAAGATTTCATGAAACCACTGAACTAAATCTCATTTCAAAATTTGAATTTGAGAAACAGGAAGTAATTACAAAGTTTGAGTTGTTTTAATTGAATACTCAAAAGGTTTGCAGAGTCGGGTGGTATTCATATTTTTGCATCATTGATGAAAAATATTTTTGCCAAGTGTGTTTCCTGTATGATGTATAATTTGTTGTCAGACAACCAATCAGAGCTTTTATGATTGAGTTTTAATAAATTCATTTATTCATTATGCAAGTTAAAGAATCTCAATGTTTGTTAAATTAGTGAGTCATCCTGGTTTATACCTGCATTATTTGAGCTATTACATTATTATTAGAATTTTAATAAAATAAAAAAACTGAAGCAACTATACATTTTAGTGAGCCTGTTGAAAAGTTTACATATGAACTTTAGTACTTTTTAAACTGTTTAATAGACTTCACTACTGAAAAAGCTATGATGTCCCAGAGATAAAAGCTTAATGGTAAAATGTTTTTATTTTCTGTCCTGAAATTTAGTTCTGATAAAAACAAACCTCTCAGCTTTAGGGAACGAATACTGAACGTTACCAATATTTCATTTCATTTAGTCTCTAAAACGAGGACGGGCGACCTCGGAGGAACAAAAGGTGTGTTTTATGTTTGGGTCTTTTTAGTCTGTTGGCTCGACTTTAGCAGGTTCTAGAAGTCAACAGAATCAGAACCAGCAGACTATTTTATTGAACCTGTAGTTAATTCAGTTTTAGGGGAAATGTTTATAGCTTGTAAAATAAAAATGTTGAACACATGAAAGAGTTCAAAAGCCCAACAGTGGTTTGATCTTATTTTGTTTTATTTAACTAAACCTAAATAGTTGATCCATTAATAAAATACAATCTGATTATTGAACATTTTTTAATCTAAGAAAAAGCTGAAAATAGTGGAGGGGCAATAATAAAACATTTGCTATTAAATAGGAAAAGTGTGTGTGTGTGTGTGTGTGTGTGTGTGTGTGTGTGTGTGTGTGTGTGTGTGTGTGTGTGTGTGTGTGTGTGTGTGTGTGTGTGTGTGTGTGTGTGTAACCATTTATGAGCAAATAGTTTTTAAATCAACATTAAATCAATGAAAAGTTTGATTTGGGTTTAGGGTTTGATTTGAGCTCCAGACTTGTTTCTTTTTCCAAGTCCTGTTTGAATTAATCAGAACTACATTTAATGACATAAAAAATCCTAAAAGCAAACAACGCTTACGTGAGTTCTTGTTTTATGGCTTTTAGATTCTGTTGGAGTTTTTATAGCAGCTTAAAAGGACAAAGAATAATTCTAAAATCCAAAATCTCATTAAAATAGCTTTAATCATTTGTGCATTTAGGAAAAAGCAGCAGCTAAAACATTAGCGGCTAAAGTAACTTCTAGTGCTCTCCTCCTTTATTCTCTCCATTCCTCACTTTGTTTCTCTTCATTCTTCCTCTCCTTAACCCTTCAAAAGATTTAATAAACAATTAAATCTGTTATATTTCACATGTTCATCTGCAACGCATGAGAATGGATATGAATCTGAGTAATAATTTGTTCCACATAAATAATAATAATAATAATAATAGGCTATTGTTTCAGTGTAATGGAATACGAAGTAAAACCTGAAACTTTACAGAAAATTCTTTATTATATATAATTAGTCCAGAGACTAAACATTTCTGTTTTTTTATGTTAATAATCTGTTCTATTTATTATTTGTAATGAAAATAACAAATTGGATCTTAACAATTCTAAAATAGAACGTGCACAATAAAAATCAGGTTTTATTTGGTTTTGATTAAATTTTACTAAAATGTTTATAAATAGTAAGCACAAATGTAAATGTTCTTGAGATTCTCATTAAATAGATGAAATTGTGGAGATAAATCCAAGACTGAGTTACTAATCCAAGGTAAATGTAAAGTAAGCTTTTTGAGATCCTTGATGTGTTCAGACAAAACATTTAAATTTCATTTTCTTCTATTTGTGTTCTGAAATAAATATTTCCATCAATAACCTGCTGAAGGTTCACCTGCTATCACCTTATTAGTGTTTGTGTGATAAAGTCAAACAGTTAAATAAGAATTTCTCTGTCATAAAAAAATTAAAAGCAGATTTTTTGTCAAATCCTTTTATGAACTTACTTTCCTGCTGCCTTCTTCCTCAGCAGCTAATAAAAAATAATAAAATTCCTCCACCAATTGTATCTCTCCTCCATGCATGACCACTAACTGAATTTGTAATTTTGTAATTTGTTTGTTTGCACAATAAAATATACATCAAATACATGAGAATAGCAAATATATATAATAAAAAAATATATACAGTGCAGGAGGGCGCAAGAAAGCCAAATTCGGCTTATATAAAGCCTCTATCTATAGTTCATAATCTAGTAAAATTTGCAAGTACTAAGTTTTTTTTAAACATAACAAGCAAACGAAAAGTGGAAAAGTACATACAATTTAACTGAAAAAAAAACACCATCCTTTAATATCTTAAAACAGAATACAACTACTAGAAAACATAAAAGTTACTATACATGCTCTCCCTTTATTAGATGGCTTTTAACTGCTTTTTAAATACTTCCACAGTAGAACACTGGATTGCCAGATAGGAAAAATGGTTCCACAGAATTGAACCCCTATGGAAGATTGTCCTAGACCAGAAAGATATTTTGGGGGGTGAAGACACATCAACTGTCGTGTGAATGAATGAGTGAATTAGCTCTAAAAGTTTTGAATTGTCTGGGTATTTTACCATTTGTCTTGTCAATAAAATCCTATAAATGAAGACAAAAATTTGGTGAATATTCAATTCATAGATGGTCAGTGTGTTTAGCCTCTGAAACAAAGGAACAGAAGATGCGTGTAGTTCAGATCTAGTTGCTATTCTGACAAAGCGTTTCTGAAGGAAGTAAAATTCTGTTAAAGAGTAGGGAATGTGCTACCCCAGATCATGTTACAGTATGCAAGATAAGGATACACTAGACTATAATACAACGTTAGAAGACATTTTGTAGAGACAAGAGGGCTCATTGTCCTTATACGATTGATTTTTTTTTTACTAACTTAACATGCATTTTCCAATTTAATTTCTCATCAACAATAACTCCCAAAAATTTTACAAATGAAACTTGTGGTAGTTCAGTGGCATCAATTTTAATTAGATTTATACCTATATTCTGCTTTTTTCCACTAAATTTAATAAAATTAGATTTACTGATATTTAAAGATAATTTATTCAATTTGAACCATTCGTTATAGGCAGCTAATCCATAATTGACCTTCTCAATCAATATTTCAAAATTTGGATGTGGTAGATACCACTAGAGTTGTGTCATCTGCAAACATAATTGGTGATAGTGTGACAGAGACATTAAATTTTATCATTTATATAAATAAGGAACAACAGAGGACCCAAAATTGAACCCTGTGGTACCCCACAATCAAGCTTAGCTCTGTTGGAAAAACATCCTTTAGCTGAAACGAGCTGGGTTCTGTTAGAAATGTAACTGGTTAACCATTTGTGAGTGGTATGTCTAAAACCATACTTGTGCAATTTAGCTAAAATTATTTTATGATTTACAGTGTCGAAGGCTTTAGAAAAGTCCAAAAAAAAAAAACACTGCAAGTGAATTCATTGTTTTCCAGGGCAGTTGAAGTTTTGTTGGTCAGGTTGAGTAAAGCCATATAGGTGGAGTGATTTTTACGAAAGCCATATTGGTAATCAATAACTGCATATCTATCTAAATGATGACTTATTCTATTAAAAACAATTTTTCCAGAATTTTTGAAAAACATGACAAAATAGAAATGGGTCTATAGTT